CAACTCGTTGAAATATTATATAGATTTCTGAGAAAAAAATTTGCAAAAATCGTTTGGGAGATAAACTGCATTTTCTATGTAGATTCGTATGCGTAATCAGTGGTGTATTGGAGGGTATACCCCGGGTATAGGAATTAATTTCGGAGTGGAGGTGAATATAGGGTGAACCCCCCTATATACACCACTGCATATACATAATACATATACACATGAAAGCTTAGTATTTGTAATAAAGAAATAAAAGATTATTAAATACTAAGTGTAATGATTTTTCGAGCGGAGCTATAAAATTTTTTAAAGAATTTATATTTAGGTGTATTTTTAGGTGCGTATACCCATAAATGTATTTACCAATACACCACTGTGAGTAATATATACAAAAGCTTTATTCAGTTGCGTAAATTCAATTTTTTTTTGTACATATAACATATTGAGTAAGCCACAATTTTTTTCAAAATATTTTAGTTTATTAATGTCTATAATTGACACAATTTATAGGAAGTTAGACAACGTAACATTTATAGATTCAAGTCACCCTTGAAGATGAGGGAGTGGTAAAAGTCTTATAATAGTATTAATAATTATTCAAAAAGCCATCCTTGTATTCACGGCTTAATTTATTTATTTGTTGGGCTAAAAATCATAATATGGAATTTTAGGTACCTACGAAAATGTATACCTATACCCTACGTACAACAAACAATACCCCTAGCTTTATTATTATTAATATTCATATACATCGATGGACATTAGAAGCGAAAGCTACAAATATTATAATATTGGTAGTATATATTATTAGGTTTAATGGTTTATACCCTCTCGAGCCTCACAGCAAATAATACATTTGAAAGCACTTATACCGTGCAATAACGTTTTTGTTTTTTCGATATCACTAATAAAGAAAAAAATTATTATTGTTTTAAGATCCTTTAAATTTTTTATGTTTATCAAACTATGTAACTTTTTTCGCAAATGTTTTATCGAAAAATAAAAATAAAAATTCTCTTATGTCTGTGATGAAAATGTTGTTTATTCTTATGTATCAGTTTTAACTGCACAAAACCGGTTTTCTATATAATTTCATAATTACGCAACATCAATACTGGGGACCACTTTAAATTACTTGAAACCTATTTAATGTTTTAAGTTATCTATATATATATATAAAAAATTAATGTTTGTCTGTCTGTCCGTGTGTCCTTTATGCATTCCAAAACGGCTGAACCGATTTTGATGAAATTTTTTGTGTGTGTTTGAGTGGTTTCCGGGATAATTAAGATTTACAATTTTACCTGGTAGGTCCAACCCGGGTAGATGCAAAAACAGGGATTTTGAAATCTACGATGGTAATTTTTCATTTTGGTTTATAGATGGTTGATATTGGATATAGGCGTTATAGCTTATAGGACTATAGGAGTAATAATTAGTAGAAATTAGCATTTATCATTTTATGGGCTGCCATTGGTGAATCTTGCAGATCAGATACAAAATTGCATAAAATCGAATTTTCGCAAGTTGCCTACCAATGTGGCTGAGTTGCACTATGTCCGCGATCCGAAGTAGTCAGATTTCCCACCAGGGTGGCACTTGGTGAGTTGCACTTATTGCAGAGAGTTATACCCAAAAGGAGTTGAATAATCATAATTTTTTTTTTAAATTTGTCATTTTCTACGGGCAACAAAGTGCGGGATAAGCTACCTAGTAATATATAAAACTAGCTGATCCCGCGCACTTCATTGCCCGTAAAAAATTACAAATTAAAAAAAAATTGTGATTATTCAACTACTTTTGGATGCAATTTAGCTTCCTTGGTAGGTAATTCGACTACGTCAGATCGCGGACAATGTGTGGCAGCATACCAAGTAAGCAATGTACGAAATTTGATTTTATGCATGATTTCACCTGATCTGTCCGATTAACAATAATGGCAACCGAATAATAAATACTACTAACTATTTCTTCTATAACCAATAGCAACGATTTATAAACAAATACATTTCTACCGTAAATCTCGAAATCCCCGTCTGAGCACCTCCCCGGGTGGACCTATGAGGGTGAAAAATACTTTACGAACTATTCAGTATTCTCACAGTCATATCTGCCAAATATAAAAAAAAATTCATGAAAATCGGCCGAACCGTTTTGGAGCAGTGCGACGGCAAACACGGTGACAAGAGATTTTAGATATGAATATAAGATCATTGATTATGATAATGTTTAAAATTGCCAATGTCAAACCCCTTAAAAAGCGAATAATATGTGGTGTTATCATGTTATAAACAATTGTTTTTTTTTTTTAAATCAATCGTCTATAATCTATATTGACTTGTGCGTTTCATTTCAACGTATGTTGGGAATGTTGCGTTATTTTTAAATAAAATGTATAACCAATCCACGTAGCGGAATCATTGATGACATTATAATACGTGACCATAAATAATGTCGTGATCACAATGATTTCGGTGAAGTAGTACCTACGGCCTACAATAATATAGCCGCTCCTGCGTTTAAATATTATTTAACAGTTTTGATTCATTCTCCTCCGATCGTCCTCCCCCGTCACCTATACCCTCCCCACACCAGCACATCGTTGACACCGTTTTAGGCATTGTTCATAAACTACGTAGAGATAGGTTACTGTACGTACTAATAACTATACTAACTATATACTAACTGCGTGACATTTACATAACGGAATCTCCGTGTCAACAGGTGCGACCAACGGACCGGTATAGAGGAGAAAAGAGATGGAGATTTGAGTTGTCGTTATGGTATATAATATTATTTATAATTATAATACAGGGTGATTCACCAATCATACTAGCTCTCATTTTTTTCATTTTATAATGAATTTATTTAAATTCTGATTTTTAGAATTATTATATAGATTATATACAATATAGGTGCCTACTTAAAGACCATAATATTATACTCGTATTTTTAGATTCTTGATATTTTTATAGGACTAAGGAATGTCCTGAGACGGTAAAAACTCCTGTTTTTCAAATGAGAAATATCTTTTTTTCTGTAAATTAGGTACCTATCGATCGTTGTCATCTGCGCGTGCGTGTCTCAAGAACCGTACTATACGGAACAATTCACGACAGATTATTGTGACAATAATGAATATTTGCGACGACCTGAAAAATCCTGGCCGGAGTGTTATTTATGGAATGTTTTGTTTAGAAAAAATATAATATGCACACGCGCAGTGATTTAACTTGGTTTAATTTTCTGGGGATGCCCGGAGGGGATAGGTATAATGTATATAATAATTTATAAGGTATACATACGCAACAACGACGGATAATTAGTGTTCATAAAATATATAATATTACACTGCAGAACGATTCTAATGTATAGTTATTCGCAGGGTTTAAGGTTTTAAAAATAGTTACAACAATAAGACAATTATGGCTGCAATTACTGTTACATATGAACTTATATGTATATCAACAAGAGTAAAAAAAAAAAAATCAAAAATGTTTAAGTTGTTCAATTTTTTTATTTGCCAAAGGTGTATTACCCACCCTATGGTTGAGAACACTGCAGCTAGTCATGCGAAATCCATTATTTTAATCTCTTTGATTATCATTTATCAGTTACAAAACACGGAAATCATAGATGACCGTATGTCCGTATATTGTAGCCACTCCAAATGGCAAATACTAGGATTTATTTTTTGAACCAATGTTAATGCAATGAAAAACCTACTACATATTATATTATTGTTCATCCTGTAGACGGCGACATTATATTTTTATGGGTATCTATAGGTACTTAATAATGGTTTTCGATCCTATATGTGATTTAATAATTTTGTGCAATTACGTTTTAATTTTAACTGTACATAGGTAACTTTTGTTTAATTAAATATTGTGGTAATTAATATTTTATGTTTTGAATTTGTGATTAGTAAAGCGTTTTTGTATTTTTTGATAAAACTTAACTTTAACTGTAAGTACTATAATAAAATTGCCCCTGATGAGATTTACCGTTTTTAATTATATTAACGAAAAACGAGCATATAATTATTCAGTTCACGTCACTATTTAATATAGGTATTAATAATATATAATATCTGTGACACTCACTACGTTTAAGACTATACAATTAGCCATTGTTTTAAAGTTAAATTAATTCTTTCTTGACTCGAAGAACGTTTGGGAATGTCTTTAATTATAAGTTATAACTGTTATTTTACAATTTGTCTTCGTATAATATGAGTATATGACAAATCGATTGTTCGCTTGTGTTGAGATATATCTTTTATTTATCAATCTTACAATTATATACTTAGTCAAAATTTTAATTTCTTATATCTATACTTAATAAAAAATATATGTATCATGTGTTGAATATATCGCATGTAATGTTGGTTGGTATGAATTAAACGCATAAGCAGACGCCTGACATTCACATACTAAGGGGTCCACATAGGCAATTTAAATAAAAATCTAATGTTTATCCAGTAATGAATTTTTCAAGGGAGCCACCACTCGCACATTACATTATTAAAATACATTTAAGTTGTAATACTATAACAAATTAAGAACAATGTACCTATTATATGATACCTATGTATGTACAGCATTGGCTGAAATCAGTTTGGTGAGGCTTGACCCCACACAAATCTTTCAAGCCTCCTTAAAACGAATCAAATAATAGTGAAATAGATGAATAATAGTAGAATTTTTCGACTAAAAAAAATTGCTCACTTTCAATGAACTACATTACTTAAAGAGCAACCACCTGTCATAAATTATAAAAAATTAAATAGTCCTTTTTGTCATATTTATGTATTTTATGTTGTTAGCCATTTCCCCCCACCCACCCGAATTGTTCAAGATTTAAAACTGTATGATACACAATATTGATGGATTAAATTTTTACCTTTCGTCGGTATAGGTACTAAAACTTTAAACTTATTGTTCTTATTTCTTATCTTTTAAAGGTCCAACACGTCATCTTGAACAGCCCGTCATTTTCAACTTAACAAAATGGTGAAACGTATCAGTAAACATCATTACGTGGCAACACCTGGCAGTAGCATACACCATCACAGATCAACGGAAACGCTACCGTATGTGCACAGAGGATATTCCACCGATGGTAAGATCGTAGACAAATTGTTATTAACTATTATAAAATTGTAATTTAAATGAAAAAAATACATAAGTACAGTCTTATTGAGATTATTATGTTATTCAACATTTTTTTTCAAACGCTGGAGGTCTGCACTATTGTACCTATTCAAATAAGATCATACATTAGAATATTAGATCCTAATGATCCTATAATACATAAATACTCATTTTAACTATCTTAAACATAACAATTCCAAAATTAGTTGTTCCATTTTATAAAATAATCAGCACATGTTATTATTTGTGCACTAACATTACATTTCTATAAATCCTAAAGTAGAAAATAGTGGTTTTAAGTCTTTTAATAATTATAGCCGAGATATTTTGTACATAATTATAAGTAGGGCTGCAGAGGACTTGTAGCATTTGCATATTTTTTTTTTGCACAGTTACAAAAATAGTAGAGTGCGAAACAAATACGTTCCATGCTTCCACAAAGCTAGTTTTAAAAATTTATTGTGCATATAAATGCATATTTTGAAAATTTTTGGTTTTTAGGGGCTTAGGGCATATTTCTTTCATTTTATACAATAAGATTTATATTTTAAATAATTTATCATTTTATCAATATTTTTAGTCCAAGTTTTTATTTATTTATTTTTACAACCAAATAACGTTGAATTTAAAATTATTTTAAATTTTGATCAGTACATGATCTTTCACTTCCTCCGGAACCTATAATTACAAGATGGGGATCGTGGGTAAATGCCGCATGTTAGTATTGCGAACACCAATAAATATAAAACACCATAAAAATAATTGAAGACATTTTTTAAAATTAAATCAAGCTCCCGGTACAGTGGGAAAAATTATTTAAGAGAACATGAATATTTTAGAGAAAAATAAAAGTTAACAATAATATTAGCTCAAATGTCAAGAATTTTATCTGGTGAAGAAACTTAAATTAGAATCGGAATACCCGAAATCTTGAGACTTGGCGATTTAGAATATTTTAAGTATGGTCCTATAAATTCCCTTGAAGTTGAACGTTCTTTTTCAATGTTTTAAGTGCTGTTAGCTGACAATAGAAAAAGTTTTCTATTTGAAAAAACATCTTATTGTTCAATGTAACTTCCAATGTAAAAATGTGTGTTAATCTTAAATATTTGAAACAAAAATATTTTGTCAATTGTTTTTTAGTAGTTGAAGAAGTAGAAAGTTGAAAGTTTTGAAGAAGTCTCCAGATGAGAAAACCGATAAAATAAACCCAAATAATTCAAATAATTAATTGTAATTTGTAAGTTGTTAAATAAAGTTGTAAATACAATTTACTCATTAAAATAATAGATAAGAACCTACAGAAAATTTTTTATTTTTCGTTCAAAAATATTCATTTTAAAATGCATATATTTTATATTTAAGTGCATATTTGCCATTTGGTGATCCCCACACTGGCCACACTCCCATTCGACAATTTTCAAACAAATAATTAAAGTATACATATAATTTACACTATAAGTACCACCTACGGGCTAGGACTTACGAGTATAGGAGTAGAGATCTACTTATGAGTTATCAGTTATATATATGTATGAGGGTATAAAATTAATATTTTCGGAGTCGTTTATTCACTATAAAATAATAGTAATCAATTAAACTAATATTAAGTTACACATAAACATAACACATATAATTATATTTTTTAAAAATAAAATATTATTATAACTCTATAAGACCCTCGCCTCTGTCTCTCTACGATCCCGCTGCGCCGCCCAACAATTCGAGCAGCGTATAATATACCTTATAAACCTAAAGATATACATACATATGTAGGTGAAGACAGCCAAAGAACTTTGTCCGAGTACACGATCGCCACTGACAGACCATCGTCTCGTGGTCAACGGACACCACCTAGATCGAAGCGGTCCCGGAGTCTGGAGAGACCGTCTAGCAGCTCCCGAGCCAGGTCGGCGGCCAGCCACCATGATTCGGACGTTTACGTGACCAGTGCCGCGTACAGGCCACCGTCCGAAATGAGGTGAGGAGAAATAGATCTGGAATTTGAGACAAAATTATTAGGTGGACTTGGGTCATCGAATTTGATTTTCGGTTGGGTTTTACAGTACTATATTGAAATAGGTGGGTGTAGCCGTGTGCCGTGTATGTACCTACTAGATAAATTTAAAACAAATTATTTTCCGCTTAACTACAGATAGAATTCGTTAATTTGTATAGGTCCAGTACACAGGAAATTACAGCGATCACACTCAAGTGACTGTCGTTTTATACACAGAGATAGGTGGGGCACGTAAATGATTAAACATTTTTGTCAAACGAATATAATATTTAATATTGTGCTTCTTTTTAGTGTCGGAAAGTAGAAATCCTTTAGACGTGACTTGACATTTACTGATCGCGCAAGGGAGGGGCGAAGGGGATAATGTGCCATATCTATAGTGCACCCATTATGGGTGCTATAGTCCCCAAGTCCGCTTATAATATATTACAATATAGTGCGATCGATCTGACGACAACTCAGATGGGTAAGAAGCAATGTTTTTAATGACGACAATAATCACGTTCGTTTTATTTTTCAGTCGAGGATCTCATTACACCAGCAGGAGCAACCGGAGCAGGGGGCCGGCTCCCAGCCACTACTCGTACCGGAGCAATGGTCTTGCCCCCTCCGAAGTGTCGACGGTCAAGTCCAAAATAACGCGTAAACCAGGCGTCACCATTGAGACTATGTCGGCGCCAAATCCGTTTTGCCCGAACACCAAGGGTATGTGCTGCCTGATGCTGCTGCTCAACCTGGGACTCATATTGGTCACGTTGGGTTTCGTCATCGTCATACAGTTTTTTGAACCTCTGTTCGTGTGGTGAGTACCAACTGGCTACTAACTAATTACCTGTTTACCGGTTACCTCAAGTTCGTAAAATTAATATAGGCGTAAGACAGAACAGTGGTTGGAAGTCACTATATTACCTAAAATTACTCTTACATAATCAATAATCATGCATAATTAAAAACAAAAACTTCACCACAAATCTCGCTAACTTTTTTTATTAGAAAATATTAATTTATATACCTACGCCTTGATCAGTGGCGCCCAACCATATTTCTAAGTGTAGCGGTCGCTACACCTTGAAAATATGGGGTGGATGGATATAATAACAAAAAATAATAAACTTGAAATATGTTCATAATTAATCACATATTATTATACTGGTTGATACCTTAATATTTACTAATATTATCAATACAAATATGATAAAATATATTAAATAATATAATTTTGAGTTTTAAGGGGGTATGTGGGTGGGTAAAATGTTTTCTTGCTACACCTGAAAAATATATCTTGGGCGCCACTGGCCTTGATTATTCGTTAGAGGAAAAATCCCATCCATAATTGCCTAATCTGCAAAGGGTCATAATTTCAGTATTTTGTTACTACATGTAAACAATTTTTAAAGTTAGATTCAGAATGAAACTCAATTATTTTATTACCCATATTCTACAGGCAGAATAAAACGGAAATATTACATACATTTTATAATGTAAATGCTTGTAAAAAGTAGAGGAATTAGTGTTATCAAAATTAACTGCCGAACAAAAATCAAAAGTTGCCTTAACCAACCACTGTAATTGCGCCACGAAATAGAAATAAAATATAGGTACCAGTCGTATCCATATTGTGCATTTGTGTTGAAATGCTGTACCTGTATGTATGGTTTTGTTCTTTCCTCACAGGGTATTGGGCATAATATTCCTCATTTTTGGATTCTTGACACTCATGGGCAGTCTGATCTACTGTGTGACGGTGTGCAGAGACGCCAAAACGCCCAAGGAGGTGGCCATGCAAAATCACTACTGGACGCATCATTGGCAAAAGAGTTTCGGTGCGACACCAGAAATACATTACAAGACGGAGAAGTATCCGCCACAGGCCATGCACCACTCAGATCACGACGAGTACAGCGATCGATTTTCAATTGGCAAACAGTCGGACAGGCACATGCACGGGCACAGATACTAATCTCATTATCAATTATAATTAATGTACATAAATGTTGTAATGTTTTTTTGTAAACTGTAAATATTTTAATGCGGTTAATTTTGGTCAACCTAATTTAACAATAGCGGTCATTATAATCTGACACCCATGTTTATAACATCAAAATAATGTATAATATAAATATAGGTAGTATTTTTAATAATTATTACTAATCATACAAACATAATAATAATAATTTATTTCAATTGTTGTCATAAAGAAATTGTTTATAACCTCAGTTTATGTAAAAAACTACTATTTCTGTCCACAAGTTGTACGGTTGATAATAGTATCAAAACAATTATATTTGAAATTATTCATGTATGTATGTCATTTTTATATCAAACTAAAATTCAGTAATTTTAATATAAAAAATAACACCAAATATCCCTAACATGTATTATGCATTGATTTGTTATAAATTCTAGAAAAACTGATATTATTTTTAAATTTTCAGCATTTCTGAAAAATAATTTAATATTAATTATATACCATTCATACAAATTTGTAAATATTTTATTAAAGTATAAATAAACGTATATAAAAAAAATGTATTGTTCATTATTATTCTAGAATAATACAATGTTAATTATAAATGTACATCAATCACACCTAAACAATAATTAAATACTACAAAGTACAAGTAATGTCTGCTGAAGATTTTAAAACTATTTAAAATAAAATTCTTTTAAATCTGTATTCTCTACACAATTTCAGAAGTGAGAAGTTACATTTTTAAAAAAACATAAAAAAAATACATAATATAATTTATAATAAGTAAAAAAAACTTGTACATTTTTCTGAAAATTTTCAAGTGCTCTTTAAAATTTCTTAACAATAGTTTAAACTGGACATAAGTTAGGTTAACATAAATTAGGTACTTAAATTAATCTTCTATAAAGAAACATAAATTTAGTAAGTTCTTCAAGAAAATAACAGAAAAAAATACATTTATGATACAACGAGAATTCATAATATTAAACATGCATAATAGAAGTACATAAATGGTTTTATTCAGAATTTGAATCAAAAGGGGATCTTGCTTTAACCTTCTTTGCAGGAGGTTTTCTTGTCGAAGCCTTCTTTTTAGTTCCTATTAAAAACATGTTTATTAATTATACAACTATTATACAAAATTACAAGAAAACAGATAAATAATCATAATAAATAAAAAAAATGCTTGGTTACTGTAATAAATAATATACATAAAAATATTATTACTTGAACAAGCATTTAATATTGAATTGTTCAAAAATGACCAATCGTGGGAATTCAGTTAACAAATTCAAATATTTTAATGATTTACGTGTTATTGATGCTTTGACCAATGTATTAACAAATCTTTATAGATTGGTAACCAGACAGACAGATCTCCCGTTGGATTACATTAGCACTCATATGACAGAAAATGTCAAAAAATATAACAAAAGACAAGAACTGAAAATACTTAATGCCAACTATATCAGGAAATGGAAGAAGAGATTATGCAACACGCAAAAAACATTTAAAGAATTAGAAAACTATGTGGATGAGTTGAGCAAATCTAAGTTAGAAGAAACTGATGACTATAATGTTGGAACAGAAGAATGAAATAACCAACATGAATTTGTTGTTAGTAACATAATAGAATATAAGAAAACAAATCATAAATCTAGAAAAATACTTGCATAATAATTAATATTTTTAATTTTTAATATAAAATATATTTAACAAATAGTGAATTAAATTGTTAAATTCATACCATAGATGGATAATTTTATATAAAACGATTCAACGATAAACGGGTTTATAAATGAGATTGACAGAAACCTATTACTACACATGGGTTACTGACTAAAAATAAAATTTGGTAATGTATAAAAAAAACCACAAGTTTCTAAAGCATAATCTGATACACCAACTAATATGATTTTTATAAAGAAGAAAACATAGTGATAATCATTAAAATGTAATACCTGATTTTGGAACAAAATCGTCGTCTGATGAATTAGACATTTTAAAACTATCATCGTCGTCATCAGACACAACCTTCTTCTTTGTATTTTCTCCAAATAGATCGTCAAAAGATTTTTGAGGTTTACCTAAATAAAATAGGGAGAACATAAGACATTTCAATAGTTTGTAAAATTAGTATGTGAACAACTTACTACTAGTAGATGGAGATTTGAACACATCATCTGAATCCGAGGAGCTGTATTTACGTTTTGGTTTAGAAGCAGCTGCTCTCGGTTTTCTAGTAGGTTTAGCTACAGGTGAATCATCATCCTCATCACTAATAGTGACCACAGTATTCTTTTTAGCCGGTGCTGGTGCTTTTTTAGCCGGTGCTCTTTTTGCAGGAGGTTTTTTTGCTACAGGTCCATCGGCTGTTGTTACCTTCGTACTAGTTGTACCATTGTTCTTTTTGGCAGGTGCTCTTTTAGCAGCCTTCTTAGGGGATTCTTTCTTCTTTTTCGGTACAAACTCATCATCTGATGTAGCCCTATAAATAAATAAAATAACAATTAGTTCTTATAAAATAAGGTAAAAATCATCAGTTTGAAATAGTCATAATTTTTCTAAATGTAGTATTAAATATGAAAAAAAAGAGGAAAAGTAGTTAACCGTTCTGATGTACAGCATGTGTCAAGTGTATATTGTTTTTCAGTATGTGTTAAATTTGAGTTTAATGATAAATTATAGCATACCAAAAAAAATTATTCTGAGCAAGGAACAGTCTGCAGTCTATACTACCAAGTATATTTCATAATAGTTCTATTTAAGTAATTTATTTCACTACTAGTATTTAGGTAAGTTGATTTAATTTTTACCGGAAACATAACATTTATTAATATTTAGATAACATAATAGGATATCTTTATATAATTTGTATTAACTCTTGAGTAAATACAACCTTATAGTAAAACGGTTTATGGTAAAAAAGGAAATAGTTTTAAATTAATATTTATTTTCATTATTTAGTTTTAGAATCAACAATTTGTGAGGAACCTTGTATTTTATTTTTATCGAGATTTATAAAGAAAAAAAAAATTAAAATTTCTATAAATAGCTCAAAAAAGAGAACACATTAAATAAAAACATAAATAATTCAAACATTTGGTAAACATTTTGAGTATCTACAGTTATTCGTTTTTAAATTACAACAAAATAAGAATACTGAGTTAACGTAAAAGTCCTGTTATTCACAATTATAAAAAAAGCACTGGGAATTGTTTATCTAAAACAGTACTAACAAGATTAACTTTCCTACCAGAAAAGATATTTAAGTTGAAAATGTAAGCATTTTTACTGCAACGACAAACAAACACTTAATAATAATATTCTTGTGAAATGAATATATATAAATAAAAAGGTGGGCAAGTGGGTGTCGCTATGCTGTACAGTAGGTTACAAGTGGGTCACTGTATAATGGATGATATTAAATTTGAATTCAACGATATAATATCATTGTATAAGAAAAACGATTCTGAGCGGAGACGGTATGTCAGTCTATGTTTAAGACATATTATATACATATCTATGGTATTAAACAAAAAATTGACCTATAATAATTAATAGGTACCTATAATAAATTCCAAATTAATCATATCACAATGTCCATTAGGTACTTATAACGCGTTATACATCAACAAAACCGTGATACTATCATAGATATATAATAGTACACTTTAGAAGTTTCAAGTACCCACGAATAATATTATTCAATCACAACAAAATAACTAAAATAGTTATTCTAGGTTTTTTAATATGTAATTTCGTCCAAATTTGAATTTAAAATGTCTGTAAAAAATAACTGTGTTCATATATTTTTTAGATTTTTTGGTTACAGTATGAACTATTTATGAGAACCTTTGTTTTAAATTTGCAATCCTTAGCTATAAAAACTGAACATTTTATAATTTATTAATTTCAATGATTGATAATTTTCGAGATTTTGATAAATTTTGTCAAAATTTGATCTTTAAATGCTTATAAAAAAAAACTGTGCCTATGTATTTTTAATATTTTTCAACTGCTATTGTAACAGTATATCAGGAGCCTTGTATTAAATTTTTACACTTTTTGGCCCAACAGATAAAACTTTATTGATATTTATAGAAAAAAAAACTAAAAAAAATTGAAAGCTGTAAATGTCCATAAACAGCTCAAAAAGAGTCAAAATATTTTCAAAATTGTATGGTGTATAGAAAATGCTAATTTAAACATTCAGTGAAATTTTCATGTATCTACAGTTATTTGTTTTTGAATTACAACAAACTAAGGAAATCGCTACATGGGAAATCGAGTGAATATTCAATGTTGTAAAAATTTGAATTTCAAACGCTCATAAAAATTTAATTTGACTTTCTTATAGACATTTTTTTTTTTGATAAAGGTAGATAATCTTATAAGGAATATTGTGTTAAATTTTCAAATCTTAGATTTAAAAAGAAAAATTTTTACGAATTCTTAATTCAAAATAATTTGCTAATTTTCGTGATTTTTCCATATTTTGTCAATTTTTGAACTTTAAGTGCTTATAAAAAAAAATTGTGACTAAGGATTTTTAATATTTTTCATCTGCCTTTGAAACAACATATTAGGAGCCTTCTATTAAATTTTCAAGCTTTCGCAACCAACAAATAAAATTTTATTGATATTTCTAGAAAAAAAACTAAAAAAAAATGAAAAATGAAAATGTCCCTAAACAGTTCAAAATAAATCAAAATATTTTGAAAATGTTATCGTGTATAGAAAATGCAAATATAAACAACCAGTGAAAATTTCATGTATATACGTTCATTTGTTTTAGAGTTACACCAAAAACCAAAATCGATTTTTTGGAAAACCAATTTTGCGTAAAAATTCCCGTTTTTCCTTAATTTTTATGTTGTTTTTTCCCGGCGCTTGTGAAAACTACTGGGAAATTTATACTTTTGACCCCCCAAAGTACCAACTAGATTCACTTTCCTATCAGAAAAGCTACTGATGAAGAAAATCCAAGCACTTTTACTGTCCTAAAACGTGATGACAGACACAAAAATAAAAAAAAAAATAAAAAAATAAAAAAAAAAACACACATCATTGTAAAATCAATACATTCATCGTTTCACTCAGAATCTAAAATTCAAAATTTAAGTTTTAATGGTTGATTTAGGTATGACACTAAAAATAAATTAAAGTGATACACCTGCATTATTTGTTGTATAGTTAATAAACAAGGGGAGTAATGATGTTTGGCATAACTATGCGCAGACAAATAGTGAATAAAAATTACAAAAACATTAATTTGGTCCGAGTGGAAATAAAATTTGAAATTTGCCTTTAATGTTGGGGTAAGCTATTTGAAATCATAACTTACTCATCAGAAAATGCATCACGTATTGGTGAAGTTCTAAAACTTTGGTCAGATTTATGTCCAGGATCATCTTCATCATCATCATCATCATCAAGTTTAAATGATATGTTGGCAGCTAGTGGGTTTTTTTTTTTTAAAAATGGCATTTAATTAATTAATTAATTAATCACAAATATAATTAATATTAGCCATTAGGTATATTTACCAGATTGTCGTTTCGTAACAGTTCTAGGAGGTGGCGGAGGAGAATCTGATAAGTTGCCACCACCGCCATCATCATCGTCATCAAAAATTTTATCAAACTTCAGTTTGGTTTGTTTTAAACCATCTGCTTTTTTCTTGGGAGCTGTTTTCTTCTCTGGTTTTACTTCATCTTCGCCTCCTTCTTCACCTTCCCCTTTTTTCTAAATACATAATACATTTTACATAATAACATTTTATTAAAAAAAAAAAAAGTAAGAAAATAAACTAGATTTCATACCTTTTTTTCAGCGCGTTTTCCTTTATTTTCTTTTGCAGCTATTAACTTTTCTTCTTTTTTTAACATTTCAGCATCTATTTTAGGAATGACACGTCTTGCAGCAGGTGATGGCAATGAATCAGCAGCCATAAGTGGTTTTTTTTTACCAAGTGCTGATTTAACACCTTTAGCAGCTTTTGATTTTCCAGATTCATCACCTAATTCATCGAGTCTTTCTTTTTCTTCAACTTCATCCAACTAAAATATAAAATTAATGATTTAACTTATTATAAATTATATTTTACAATTATTAATAAGTAATAAGTAATTACTAGGGATTGGAACCTATTGAGTTCATAAATTATATTATATTATAATATTTTTATTCAATAGTCAAAAAAAGTAAATATAAATATATTTTTAGAAAAATTAGAACTTAAATTCTTTTTGTGTATATTTTTTACTTTTTTTATATTTTAGAATATTAATTTTATAAGGCGTTATATTAATTTTGTTTTCTAGTATATTTTGTAATGTAAAAATTAACTTTTCATTTTATACATTTGCTTTCAATTTTAATTGCATATCGTAATTGTAGCCTAGATCATTTTTTTTGCATGCTATATTAAATATTATATTTGATAATAAAAAAACTTGACATATAAATATATTCAACTGGATTGTTTTAAACCTATTAAGTATTTATTAAAATTTTTAAAAATCAAAAAATTAATAATTTATAATAATAATTTAGTGAATGTACAAAACATGTTTCAATAGTTGGTTGTTATA